TTGGACACCAGGAGGAATTTCTTCATGGAAGAGGCTGTCAAACTTCAGGAGGGGCTGTCCCTTTCCTGTTGGAGTCCCCATCCCTGGAAGTGCCCAAGGAACACTGGAACTGGACGTGGCAGTCAGTACTCTGGGCTGGTGATGAGGTGGAGATTAGACTTAATCTTGGAAGTCTTGGAGGTCTTTTTCAATCTAAATGATTCTGTGATTCTTTGATGTTATTGTTCTAATCTCAGTCCAAGAATTTTGCAAAGCTCTTCACACCTCATTCATATTTCTTGATTTGAGAAAAACCTGAACCACAAGTTCCCAATGCCAGATTTATGTTTTGTAAGGTAGGGATGGTAGAAGGTCTCTGAGTTGGGATTGTTTCTTTGCCTTGGTTTGTACCTATTCCCTGTTCTCAGCTGGCTGTGGGAAATACGGATTTATGTAAAAATACTGAAAATTAGAGTTACCTCTCTGACCTGCAATGTTTTTTCCCTTTGAGGTTGAGCTATGTGCACACAGTTTTATTCAGGCAGCCTCGTGGGAATGCAGGACTCAGTCTGCCGACGAAAAGATTTTGACTAAGAAGATAAATGAGAAGATTTCTTATTCAGCACAAATCTTTGGGAGAATCTCTTGTCTCATACAGCAAGTGCTGAACTTCTTGAGTATGGCTCTCATTCGAAAATACAGAAGCTCAGTGTGTTTTATCTTTTTCCAGTGTTTGGGGTAACACCATTTCACCCCTTCTACCCCCAGCAGAGTTAATGGACTTGTCTCATTGTTCTGATGTCATTAAACATACAATGTGTACATTCTGTGGCAGATTAAGACCTTTTGGTATTGGTTTAGTTGGTACCAGGTTGCTGAAGAGTACAGACTGCCAGTCCCATCATTCATCATTGTATGAGTGTATTAATATTCAAAAACTCCTGCTTTCTAAGCAGTTGTCCTTTAGAAGAAACTGACACCTCACTGGGATTCAAATTGTCCCTGGGAAGGAGCCTGGCTCTTGTTTAGGGAAGCTCTGGAGTGCACAGAAGTCAATTGAAAAGCAGGAACCTTTGATCAAATCAAACAGTTGAAAGAGATCCTCCCCAATGAGCATCTCCGAAGTGTGGGGCCCTGACAAAGTCCTCCTGACTGTTAATTTAGGCTCTATTTTATAATTCATTAGAATTGGGAGACTGAAAAAGCAACAAACAACTCCCTGACTTCTGCCAAGTGGCATATGGCTGTCATCTCTGCTCAGCCTCCAGTGCCCTGCTCAGCATTCCTGCTCTCCCAGGAATGAGCTGATCTGTAAGAGGATTGCTCTGGATGGCTCTATAAGTGCTTGAGATGATGTTTCTTTGTCACTGATACAGAAATGAGGGATGAATGGGATATGCCAAAAATACTACAAAAAAAAATATCTTTGTAGATAATTTTATTTTTTAACGTTTGCAGAGGTGTAGGGCAAAGTCTGTATTGGCTGTTTTTTTACTGGGGCTATC